GTCTCATGCGACAACTTCAGGACCAAACCAACAATTAAGAATTTATCAAAATCACGACGATCCAACTGAAGAAGTTGACGAATCTCCTTTTATAAATCCAATTTCTTTTTTAAACACTATGCATCAAAAATTGAAAACTACTGCACCTCCAGTATATTCCTTCTCTCACGACGCAACAACCGGACAATTTTATTGTCAAGTTCATTTTTGTGGACAGACTTATCAAAATCAAACCGCAAGGCCAAAAAAACAACAGGCGAAGGAAGAGGTTGCTAGCATTGCGATGAGAGATCTTTCTCTCAGAATGTCTGATATTACAGCTTTAATTCGCACGGATTTAATCCGGGCTCATGTTGCCGCATCTCAGAAAGCTAAATTCGGTGGTGGAAAAAATCAACCTGGAAATGGAGCTATGGTGGTTCATTCTCGACAAATGTCACAACAAATAACACCGCATCCTTTAGAACTTATCCCGAAATCTGTTCAATGGTATAGAAAACAGACGGAACTTGCAAATAATGGGCAACCAAAACGACCTTGTGTCTTGTTGCTAGAATTTTGTCAAATGCATAAATTAGGACAACCTGTTTATTCTATGAGAGATGATGGTAGAGGCAATTATCTTTTTGACTGCACAATAGCTGGTAGAGTCTTTAATCCAGAGATAGCTCTCTGGCACAAGAATGATGCCAAAGACCATGTAAGCTCAATAGCCTTTAATGTTCTTTATGGTGAATGTGTTGCGAGAGAATATAGGGAAATAGAATTACGATACCATCAACCTCAACTTCACGGTGCTATTCCGCCACCTTACGGAAATTCAATGGCTCTTTATTCAACTGCTGATGGCGGATACTTTGCAACCCCAGGAAGTCTTGTTCCGGCAAATCCTATCTATGTACAAAACAATCTTATTCCAAGCCATTCTCATTCAATTCCTAGGACTTCTTAAGATTATTGTCCAACTTATTAGAAAATAAATTTATCTTTTACATTTTGATATAGTAGTGTTTCAAAACCATATTATCATAACATTTTAGGTTTTCTCAATTTATATATATTAACTTTCCAAATGTCGATGGATATTAGTATATTGTTGTATCAACAATTTTACTTGTAAAGTTAGGGTTAATGTTCATTTAATTATAAGCTTAGCAGATGTATTTATTGTTTATCTATTCAATTTAGATGATTTTGCTATTTCATTATCAAAACTAGTTAGATGAGAATTTTCTTACCAATAATAATTCACGTGACAAATTCTCATACTGTCACGTGTAATTCCGATGTCGAATGCTAATAATAATCCGTAACCTTTTTTCCAAATGTAGTGACCAAAGTGAGACTCGTTAATAATAAGTAATAAAAAAAAAAAAAAAAAAAAAAGTAATTCCTTTTTCTTGGGTCAAAACAAGTTATTAAAGGATATTTTGAGGCGGCAAAATCAAGCAAAACCTGTAGTGCATTCACATAATTCCGCCATATATTCAGATATCACTCGAACCATTGTACGTAGGGTCGTGATAGTTACACAGCCAATCATATACCAGTGATTGTGATCATCACGACCACGGCAAATATGTCACGAGTCAAAAAATTTATATACGGGGAGGATTAACGGTTATATTGTATTTGTGATGTTTAAGTCGAACTATAAATATATTTTTTTTTTGTTTTTTTTTTTTTCATTTCTTTACATATCATGTATATATCAATCGATTATTCCAATATGAGACATGAAATGAAATTAATGAATTTGTTACTCTCTTACCACAGCATAATGGTAAGAGAATTTTGCAAATATATATAATCTCACATTATTGCATTTCTCAAAAGGTCCAGAAGCAACGCTATGAATATAAATCATTTCGGATTTTACAGCTTAATCAAATATCTACTTCCTCTTCCGTATCTTTTTCATCTCGATCTCGGACAGACAATCTAATCCTTCTTACCTCCCTATCTTTTGCTTCTTTAACTTCTTGAGGATATATATAATTAGTAGGCCTTTGTTGTTTTCTCTTCTTTTTTAGATTAGGTCCTATTTGTTTATTGTAACCAGACTTAAGATCATCTGAACTTGATGATGTGTCATCAACCAACCCAACGGCCTGATCCGAAATTAAATATAAATTTTAATAAATCTCGCAAAGTGAATTCATACGACATGACTCATATTGAGCTACATATACCTTCTCAGAAGTCGCACTGCCACGTTTGATTGGAAAAAATAATTCAATATCAAATGATTCTTTTTTTTTTTTTTTTTTAAAAAAAAAAAAAAAAAGGAAAAAACATAGTCGCAAGCGAAAGGATCAATTTATTCAGAAACACGCGATTTTATTAATCAAAATTTAGACATTAACCTTGATAGAGAAAACAATCGTTCTTCACGTGTAATTTCCGATCGCTTCTTTTTATCATTTGCGGCCCTTAAATAACCGTCAAACCCGCGAATTAAGTTTCCTCCTGAATGAGTTTCTTCCAAGTAAGATCCTTCAAAATTCCAGATATGCTTCTCGATTGTTTTCTGTATTGTTGTATTGTTCAAATCAATATTCGGCTGGTTAACTGCGAGTATAAAAAAAGATTGATTCTTTACCAATTTTGAAGCAAACTCACCAGGCTCTTGTCGACTTGTTTCTTGCGAACCAGTAATTCTTTGAGTTCCGCTTCTGCCTCCTCAAGTTTTTGTCTAGTGACATTTGACGACTATAAGAAAGTACATAATACATCAGACAAAGCTGAAGTGGAGGAGCTAAACGAACAATAGTTAACAATATTTACTACGGGAAGATCCTCTTTTTTAATGTTCGACATAGAAGTCTACAAGTAAACGTTTCAATAAACTTATCGTTTATGCTCTCAACTTTAATAGGTTTAGTTTACTAATCACATGAAAGATGAATATATATATATAGTAATATATAATGATAATCATAAAATTTTACTCTTATCACAATGTTACTTCAAAGGTTACGATATCGACCCCGACGTCCTTTTTGGCAGCTCCCCCAACATCGATTGCCAGTTTTGTCCCTTTACAAAACGCTGCTCAGATTATCTAAAACATTTCCCAATGATATTCACAGGAAATATTTATACTTTACTATTCGTGAAAAATTTAGATCTAGACGTTATGAAACTTCAGTGGTTTCAACTATCGAGCATTTGAAAGAGGCACAAGAAGTATGCTTGTGACTTTAAACTACTTTGGTGGTTTAACTGATTATATAATATCTTGGCATGCGTACTTTTAGTGTCGGTTCACTTTACAAAAGGCATTGCGAGGCGATAAAGAGTCCTTTCAACATATTGATGACTTGGCTTGGGGTAGGAAAGGTAGGCTCAAAGAAGTACTGGAAGTAGTAAGTTGGAATATTAATACCCATATTTCATAATGTATCTGATACGTATTGAAACAATGTTAATTTATAGATCAAAAAGAAAAAATGGAAGAAACGGGTACAATATTTTTTATCAATGTCCTTTTCTATTAAACCTTTTTTTGCTAATACAATTCATTTTGTAGTACCCTATCCATGGCGAGCTAAAATGAGATTCTACTTTAACAGTCACATTCTGATTAATAATTCGAATGCGATTTTTTTCAAGCTTTGAGAGAGGATATCTCGACAACCAACCATCTAAAGTCGAAAAAAATTTTTTTATTTAATCATACATTCATTTAGGATCGGAATAAAAATTTTCATCAATTTTAGATAAGGTTGTCGAGTTATCTTCGATCAAAAGTTGAAAAAAAACTTTGCAACAGCTTCTGTTTTGATAGTTATCTAAGTTTTTCTAAAACTGAGCGAAAATACCTCGACAACCACCTATCTAAAATTAATAAAATTTTCCATATTATTTATATAGGCATATAGAATCAGAATAAAAAAATCTTCATCGACTTTAGATAGGTGGTTGTCAAGATATTTTCGCTCAAAATTTGGGAAAACTTTGTCGTAGCTCGTTTTGATAGTTTTTTTCTAAACTTTGAGCAAAAATATCTCGATAATCACTATTTAAATTTAATAAAAATTTATTATTTTGATTACACAGGCATAGAGAACCGGAATAAAAGAATTTTCATCGATTTTAGATAGGTGGTTGAACTAGTGCTCCGTAAAATCAAATCATTAATTTGATCAAATATTTCAAATATTTGATTCATTCAAAATTTGATTTGATTTTGCGGAGTATTAGGTGGTTGTTGAGGTATCTTCGCTCAAAGTTTGGAAAAAACTTTGCCGCAACTCTTGATAGTTATCTAAGTTTTTTATGAAATTTGAGCGAAAATATCTCGACAATCACCTATCTAAAATAGATAAAAAAAATGCTTTTATTTTAATTATACAGGCATATAGAATCTGAATAAAAAAATTTTCATTTTAGATAGTGGCTGTCGAGTTATCTTCGCTCAAATTTGGAAAAAACTGATTTGATAATTATCTAAGTTGTTTTTCTAAACTTTGAGTCAAATATCTCTACGACTACCTATCTAAAATTTATAACTTTTTTTTTTTTTTTTTACTTAATTATCCAGGCATATAGAACCGGAATAAACAAATTTTCATCGATTTGAGATAGGTGGTTATCGAGATATCTTTACTCAAAGTTTGGAAAAAGCTTTGATGCGATAATTATACAAGCATATAGGATCGGATTAAAAAAATTTTCGATAAGTGGTTGTCGCTAAAGTTTAGAAAAAACTTGGATAATTATCAAAACAGAAGATGCAGCAAAGTTTTTTCTAAACTTTGTACGAAGATATCTCGACAAACACCTATCTAAATTGATGAAAAGTTTTTTATTTCGATTCTATATTAATGTATAATTAAAATAAAAAATTTTTATCGATTGGATGGTTGTCGACATATTCTCTCTCAAAGTTTTAAAAAAATCACGTTCGAATTAGTAATCTCGTTCGATCAGAATACGGCTGTTCATGTAGAGTCTCATTTTAGCGACAAAATTTGTCGCCATGGCTAGAGTCCTATTCATTTTGCTAATACAATTCATAGCCAAAAATTCATAAACTAGTTTATGATACTCGAACCGTTCAATCACGCATGATTGATCCTCATTATGCGTACAGAGTTCCTCTAGATCCACGTTTATATAAGCCACGTAGAGTACATTTTTTTCGAAAAAACAGATGGCCAAAAAAAAAAAAACATAAATGGCGCGAAGGGCTTGTGAGATATACAATAGTTACGCAGTTAGGATATAAGCTCCAGAGAATAAGAGGATGGCGTCAACCGACTTGGATTTCTATGATGATGAACAAACGCATAAAACAACATCAAAAACGAATTGACAGATATAGAGAGTTGGAATCTTACCTTGAGATGGTTAGAGGAGAAGAACTGATGTTGAAAACTCTGAATCCTAAGTTAGTCAAAGAAATAGAAGGGTTCGGTGAGATATTTATGGTATATTTCACTCTTATAATCCCTTTTATTCATTTTTTCTTTTCATCTTTTCTTCAGATAAACTTATTCTGCGAGAAATGAACGATAGTAAAAAATTGTATGAAAAATGATAAAAAAAGACAATTTTGATGACAACTTTTGATCAAAAAAAATTTTAATACTAAAAAGATGCTAAGTTTTATTTCAAACTTGCTGTAAATATTAGTTATAATATTTTTAGCATTGTGTTTGAAACATTTATTGTTTGGTTAAACTATAAAAAAAAATTTTTAATAAAAAAATATTTGCAAAGATATAAAAATCAAGTTATTCAGATTATAAGTATAAGCATTTTAATAGATTTGTTTTGAGATTAAAATAAAA